TTTGATCAGTATGCTAATCTCATATCCGCAGCTGTGGGTGACAGTAATGCCCCGATGTGTGTGTATTCAAGAAATATTTCACAGGCAATTTCGCATCCCCACATACGGCCACGCGCAACGTCTTCGCCTTGGTCCTGGCATTGGTCCTGTGGCTCCTGGCCGGGGACATTCACTAACTATTGTGCATACACAAGCTCTAATAAAAAATTCAGTTCACGTCTCGAGCACTTATTGATACGTGAGCATAGATGACACACACCCACACACACAAACAGCCACACACACTGGCATAAGTAGCGCATACATATGCATAAGGTCCTTTGTGGAGAGTGGAGCACTGGGGGACAAGGATATTGGCATGGGAGCAGAGGGCGTCCCAGCCCAAGGGACAATAACTGACCATGAAAAATGGCCAGGAGTCGAGACAGCGTTTTGAAAAGGACTCGGTCAATGTCAAGGAGACGAATCAATTTTGGCGATGAGTCCCAATCACAGCGAATCCAATTACGGACCAGATAATACTGGAATGAGATCGGCAAGAACAGCACCGTGCAAAAGTCACCGGAATTGTTTTGCTGTTTATATCATTATCATATCAGTTTTCTGATTAAATTATATGCTGCATCTTAACTGTCCAGTGATATCAACTTTTGGATAAATTGCTGCAGCCCGCGTATTGTGCTTTCTCCAACGAAGTTAGGCGGTTGTGCTTTCTCGGCGGGTCTTTCAATTTTCGGTTAATATACGAGTTTTAATCATGTCTGGAAGTAAATCCACCTCAATACTAGTGTTTTTTGTGAATGGAAAAAAGGTACCTAAAAATTCTTAAATTCATTTTGTTTCGAAAATCATATCCTTTTACGGGTTGTTAAATTCAATACACTAAAGATTTGACAAATATGTAATATAAAATATGTCTACGTAAATTTTGACCATTTAAAAGTTAGTTGGGAACTAATATTGACTCCGTTTAAATGTGAACCATTTATATGATAGGCAACGTATGGGATTCGGGAAAAGTTTTCGACTCCTGTTCCTACCGACTGAATTACAAATGCTTGTAGTCCTTTTTGTGGTGATGAGTTTTTGTTTTTTTGTTAGATCAATATAATATACACTTGGCCCTCGCTTAAAGCGGACTCTTTTAGCACGAGCCCTTTTAGTGACGTGGCCACTAGACCGGTTGAGCGAACGAATGGAACAATAAATGGCTGGAGGCCCGGGCTACCTTAGTATGAATAACTTTCTCTCCTTCTTTCTCTCCTTCTTTCTATAACAATACCCTTATTTTCAGTATACTACACTAATCGTTTGAAGATCATTGTATGGAGCTGGGATAGCTGATTAAGGGAATGTAATTTATACGCTGCCCGAAACTTAACGTAAAACTTTAAACGCGTTTTTCTCGAAACTACTTTTTTTGATGCGGTCGCCACTATATCTCAAGATCAAATCAGTCGATTTACTTGAAAATTTGCATGAATATTCTTTAAATATATCTCTATCGCCGGAAGCAACAAAAAATAAAAATTTTAAATTTATAATATTTTTAAAAATTTGATAAAATGGAAAAATTAGTAAAAAAATCGACATTTTTTTTGAGTAGCCGCCATTTCATGAAAAACAAGAAAGGAAAGCTAATTTCGGGCGGAGCCGAAGTTGATATACCCTTGCAGAATATTATGTACATTATATTCTCAAAAATTATTCATATGATGCATTCTTAATACTCATAAAAAATCCCAACTTTCTAACTTAACAAACACCAAAGTTATGGCATTTCCGATCAATCAGTTATATGGCAGCTATAGGATATAGTCGGCCGATCCCGGCCGTTCCGACATATATACTGCGTGCAAAGGAAAGAAGGGTGTGTGCAAAGTTTCAATTCGATAGCTTTAAAACTGAGAGACTAGTTTGCGTAGAAACAGACAGACGGACAGACGGACATGGCTATATCAACTCAGGAGGTGATCCTGATCAAGAATATATATACTTTATAGGGTCGGAGATGTCTCCTTCACTGCGTTGCACACTTTTGACCAAAATTATAACACCCTCTGCAAGGGAATAAAAATGTTTTTTTTTTTTGGTGCTTCATGCCATAGCGACATTCGTACTCATTAAGAATCTATCATTGTTTTATTTTTCAAATAACGACAAGCATAGAAATCATGACGACGAGGACACGGCCTTTTCAAGAACGAATAACTTAATAAAAACAAATTTTTTTTTTTTTAAATTTATTTTGTGTACTCCATTAAGTTTAATAAACAAATGAGAAAAAGACGGATAGTAAAAATATATATTGCTTTTTTTATTAATTGTTAAAAAAAAGCTCGAAATTCAAGCCTCTAGACTAGAAGACCCCCTTAAAGAAGCTTTAAAATCCACCAAACAATCGAAAATTACTGATTTTTTTTATAAGGAGCCACAAAAAAAGAAAACATGTTGAAACAAACTGGCTTAAACTATATATGCCACCAAATGCATTTCAAATATGATATGAATAGAAATATATGATCTCCTTACTTTTTAACATTTTTAAGTTTCTATAAAGTTTAACCTGTTAATTAATTATAGGAAACAACTTTTTCATTTCATACCAACTTTTAATTTTGAAAATATGAATGTTATGCATTTATTAAAGGCATACTCATAATAACTTTCGGTTAATTTTGAACAAATGTATGAAATTTTAATAAAAACAGACCAAATTTGAACAATAAAAAAATTTTTTTGCTGCCGATTTTGAATTTTGGGAACTTAACCCCTTATTTTGTACTGAATCCATGTTTCACTTATCACGATTTCGGTTAACACGAGGATTTCAAGGAACGTAATCCCCGTGTTAAGCGAGTGCCAAGTGTTTTTTAAAGTATCTTTTTATAGCAGGTCGATTTTTACTAACCTTCAGCGTACACTTATACAGCAAATGGCTTAGTTTATACTGAGCATTATAATTTGCAAATAATCGCTTGCTTTACTTTTTTTAAAGCCCAAGAGCCTTGAATAACACCACAATAAAGACGATAACTTATAAACATATGCAATGCAGATAACGATGTTGGATGGCACTTTATAATATAACGAGATCTTTTTATTGGTATTACTGACAATTCTGTCGGCAGCCACATTTTGCGATATACATATGGGGCAAGTCAGATTCACTTCATCCTCTCTCTTTAATTTTCTTTTAAGAATAAAAAATTTATTTTGTTTTTTTGACATTTGTGCTGTGAGGACCTTTTTTCAAAATACGTCTGTAATAAAAAACAAAAAAAAATCAGAAAGGTAAAAAGAAGAACTAGCAAATAAAGGTAACCGAAAATTCAAATATTTTTTTTTTAAAGCTGCAATAAAAATTTAATTTTGATTCAAAAAGAAAAAAAGGGGTGTGTCCAGCCTACGCAGGACAGAAGTGAAACCTCTCACCCTTTTTTCTACTGCTGTAAATGAATTCGTTTTGGCACAGAAATGATTTCGGCTTAAAATCGTCTTTTCGGGCATTCTATTTTTAGATTTTTAAGGCAGGCTTGCACCTTGTGAGGTCAAAAAAAACTTTCTTTTTTTTTGCAGTTTCGGATACATACATGTTTCAATTTTACTCTCCTAAAATTTCAGTCGAAATCTCTTGATTTACGAAAGTTATCGGCCGTTTGGTGGACCGGTGTCAAGCGCGTTGCCATTAAAGTGCAAATTTTCAAACGCGTTTTTCTCGAAACCATGTTTTCCGAGTTGGCGGAAGTCGTACAAGCCGCAAAAATTGAGCAATCGTCATGAAATTTTTTATACATGTTCCTCAGAAGTATGTGCATGGCATAGACTAGGATCTTTTGAAAATATTAAAAATTGTTTATTTAAAAAAATAATGAGTAACGAAAAAATGAAGAAAAAACCGATTTTTTTTTCAAAAGCTCATAATTTTTGAATTTTTTATGTTTTTTCAATTATCCTAGTTCAAGCCATGCGAGCAAGTGTACAGATTAAGAATATATTCGTTTTTTGCGTTTCAGATTATTTCTTAAAATTCCAAAAAATCCGCCATGAGGACGAGTTTTTCGCGGACATGCCGCCATTGTTGGGTACTCCCCCTTCCCCCTTCCCTTGGATCGCACTCAAAAAAATTGTGTAGCTTCAATAAACTGTACCCTACAACTGGCTAAAATTTTATTCCCACACCTACCATACTTTCCAAGAAATAAATTTCAGAAAAAAATCAGGTTTCGGGCGCCAACAAGGTGCAAGCCTGCCTTAAGCTCTCGAATTTGTACGAGCGCGCTGAGAGCGAGAGAGGATAGAAGAGGAGAGAGAGATCGTTCGTCAGCGGTGAGAGAGGGTCAGGGGATCCCGCTTTTTTCGTGACGGTCATTTACTCCGTCCCCGAAAATCCGTAACGCGCCTAAAGAAGTTTCACTTCAAAAACAAAGTTAACGAGAAAAAAAGCAAACCGAAGCTTATATACCCTTCTTCCAAAATTATATATTCTATATTAAGCTACTTCGATTTTTTTTCTACATTTTTTAATTGTTCCCTCTAGAAATAAAATATAGTCTTTCGATTTTTATAAAAGTAAAAACATAACTTTAAAATCGTTAAAAATTACTATGTCTCGAAATATATGGGTATAAATTTAAAAAAACAACGAAGTCAAAGTTTTATTTCCCTTTTTCCCGATTGTTCCTATGGCAGCATATTTTGCGGGTCTCCGATTTTAATGAAATTAAAACCTTATTTCTGAAATCGCTGAAAAAAACAATAACGTAACCTAAATCACTAAGTTTTAAGTTCCCAATATATTTTGAAAAACCAGTGCACATTTTAATTCGCAGCATCAATACTTTTAGCACAAAGATGGCGAGATCGGCTCGCCTGAAAATGCTGATCAAGAATTTATATACCTTACAGGGAACAGTGTGCACTTCACTTTTACTTTTGCACACTTTTTTTGGCCTGTATACCACTAACACCCTGAACGGTGTCTTTCAATTTTCGGTTAGTATACGAGTTTTAATCATGTCTGGAAGTACATATGTATGTACATCCACCTCGTTACTAGTGTTTTTTGTGAATGGAAAAAAGGTACCTAAAAATACTTAAATTAACTTTTACTTTTACACACTTTTATTGGCCTGAATACCACTACCATCCTGAACGGTTTATTGCCCTATTCCAGGTCACGGAAACCTCTCCGGATCCGGAATGTACGCTTCTAACGTTCCTGCGGGAGCGGCTTCACCTGTGCGGCACCAAGTTGGGATGCGCGGAGGGGGGTTGCGGCGCCTGCACGGTGATGGTGTCCCGCCTGGACCGCCGTGCTCACCGGATCCGCCACCTGGCCGTCAACGCCTGCCTCACGCCCGTGTGCGCGATGCATGGATGCGCGGTGACCACGGTGGAGGGCATCGGGAGCACCAGGACGCGGCTGCATCCAGTGCAGGAGCGGCTGGCCAAAGCACATGGCTCCCAGTGCGGCTTCTGCACTCCGGGCGTCGTGATGTCCATGTACGCCCTCCTTCGCAATCAGGATCAGCCCTCCATGCGGGACTTGGAGGTGGCCTTTCAGGGCAACCTGTGCCGCTGCACCGGCTACCGACCCATCCTCGAGGGCTTCAGGACCTTCACCAAGGAGTTCGCCTGCGGCCTGGGTGAGAAGTGCTGCAGGGCTGGTGGCGATGGATGCACCGACACCGAGCTCTACCAACCCAGCGAGTTCCAGCCATTGGATCCCACCCAGGAACCCATCTTTCCACCCGAACTCCAGCTAAGTGACGCCTTCGACTCCCAGAGCCTGATCTTCAGCTCCGAACGGGTGACCTGGTATCGTCCCTCCCATCTGGTGGAGCTCCTCCAACTAAAGGCCCAGCATCCGGAAGCCAGGCTGGTGGTGGGCAATACGGAGGTGGGCATCGAGGTTAAGTTCAAGCACTTCCTGTACCCTCACCTGATCAACCCAACCCGGGTGGAAGAGCTGCTGGAGGTGAGGGAATCCCAGGAGGGCATTTATTTCGGGGCCGCGGTCAGTTTAATGGAGATCGACTTGCATCTCCGACAGAGAATAGAGCAGTTGGCAGAAACGGAGACACGTTTCTTCCAATGCGCCGTGGATACGCTCCATTATTTTGCCGGAAAGCAGATTCGAAATGTCGCCTGTTTGGGCGGAAACATCATGACCGGAAGCCCCATCTCCGACATGAATCCGCTGCTCTCCGCTGCAGGAGCTCAACTGGAGGTGGCTAGTTTTGTGGACGGAGTGTTCCGAAGGAGGACCGTCCACATGGGAACTGGCTTCTTCACCGGCTATCGCAGCAACATTATCGGAGCCCAGGAGGTCCTTCTGGGCATCCACTTTCCGAGGACTACCCCGGATCAGCATTATGTGGCCTTCAAGCAGGCCAGGCGAAGGGTGGATGACATAGCCATCGTGAATGCAGCTTTCAACGTTCGATTTGAGGAGAAGTCAAACGTGGTAGCGGAGATTTCGATGGCCTTTGGTGGAATGGCTCCTACAACAGTGCTGGCACCCAAGACCTCTCAGTTGATGACTGGTCGGGAGTGGAATCACCACTTAGTGGAGCTCGTGGCCGAGAGTTTGTGTACGGAACTACCTTTGTCCAGCTCTGCTCCCGGGGGAATGATCGCCTATCGACGAGCCTTGGTCATGAGCTTGTTTTTTAAGGCCTTCCTGGTCATCTCCCAAAGGCTGAGCAAGGCTGGTATTATATCCTCCAATGGAGTAGCCCCCGAGGAGCGAAGTGGTGCCCTTGTCTTCGAGACTCCCGTCTTAAAGAGCGCCCAGCTCTTCGAGCGCGTGTGCAGCGATCAGCCCCTCTGTGATCCCATTGGCAGACCCAAAGTCCACGTCGCTGCTCTGAAACAAACCACTGGAGAAGCCATCTACACAGACGACATTCCTCGAATGGACGGGGAAGTCTACCTGGCATTGGTGTTAAGCACCAGACCTCGGGCGAAGGTCACCAAGTTGGATGCCAGTGAAGCCTTAGCTCTTCAGGGAGTTCATCGGTTCTTTTCGAGCGAGGACTTAACAGAGTATGAAAATGAAGTCGGTCGTCTGCGTCAGGATGAGCACGTGTTTGCCGTCGGTGTGGTCAACTGCTGTGGTCAGATCCTGGGCGCCATTGTTGCGGATAACAAGGCATTGGCTCAACGAGCCTCACGGATGGTGAAGGTGGAGTACCAGGATCTGAGCCCAGTTATCGTGACCATAGAACAGGCCATCGAACACAACTCCTTCTTCCCGAATCATCCTCGAACTCTGACCAAGGGAAATGTGGAGGAGGCCCTGGCTCGGGCGGATCATACCTTTGAAGGCACCTGTCGAATGGGTGGACAGGAGCACTTCTACTTGGAGACCCACGCGGCTTTTGCTGTTCCGCAGGATAGCGACGAGTTGGAGGTCTTCTGTTCCACCCAGAATCCCTCCGAGATTCAGAAGCTGGTGGCGCGAGTCACCTCGCTTCCTGCCCACCGCGTCGTCTGTCGAGCCAAGCGCTTGGGTGGTGGCTTTGGCGGCAAGGAGTCCAGAGGCATCTCGGTCGCCCTCCCGGTGGCCTTGGCCGCCCACCGGATGGGTCGTCCTGTGCGCTGTATGCTGGACCGGGATGAGGACATGCTTATCACCGGCGCCCGCCACCCCTTCCTGTTCAAATACAAGGTGGGCTTCACCAAGGAGGGCCTACTCACTGCCTGCGACATAAAGTGTTACAGCAACGCCGGCTATTCCTTGGACGTGTCCTTGGCGGTAAGTCCTTCTTAATTTCTCAAGGCCTTTCTGCCAATAAATAGGGTTGGTGAGACGAAACCGACTTGCCAAGTATAGCTCATAAACCGTTATCTATTATTTGTATTGTCTTTTGGGCTTCGCACTTTATTGTGGGCTTGCTGTAGTTATTTGCTTCATTTTTAATTTGTATTCATCACAAAAATTAAAAAGTTTCAAGATAAACCCACTTATCACTGTGGACGGCAGTAAACCTAGTGATGATGCGCACCGCGAGAGTGTACAAAGCGACTACCAACATAAAGCAGCAGAGTAGAAAATCTGTTGTGATGGTCCGATCGCCACCGCCGATTCTTTCTAGTCTCTTACAGCTTTTCAGATTTTCCCTCTTTTTATATACAAACATATAACAAATATTTCCGAGAATTGGAGCTGTATTAAAATTCCGTGGTTTTCGAAGAACTATGCGAATTTCTCAATGATTTTTCCTTAAAAGACCCCTTGAAATGACTATATCATACATGTATTTCATATGTACGATTATACGCATAATATTAGCTTTTTAATTTGCAGTCAATTTTGCTTAATATTTCAGAAATCAATAGACGAGATCAGAAAATGTGGCTAACATAAAATACAAATTATTTGTATTTTGAACATTTTATCTCAGTGAATAATATCAATTAGGTTTTGTGCAAATTTGGGAAGAGGCGAGTAGGATAGTTTAAAAAGTTTGGTTGGACATCGCAGCTATAATTAAAGAAAAGCCTGACCATTTGAAGTCAATGGCTAGGTCTTTGATAAATTTGCCAAAATGCCAACATATAAGACTTTCCTGACTAACTGAGTTCTAATATTTAAAACCATGGTATCCAAAACTTTATATACAGAATTTCAGAATTTAAAATTAAACAAAGCAAGTACGAACAAAATGTAATTTATAAAAATATCTTATTATTATTCTAATTCCTCCTAATTAAATATACTGGCCAACTACTAGTGTTCTTACATAGTTTAGTTGATCAGGAAAATATAAAATAACAAATTTTAATTTAACAAATACTCCAAAAAGAACTAAGATTTTCACCTTGATCAAAAAGAGGGATAGGTCTTCTTAGCCCCTTAATAGCAAGGAAATGTATTTTCCTTTTTATGAGAAGTATGTCTATCTAAAATCAAAACGTAGTAAAACAAGAAAGGAAAGCTAACTTCGGGCGGAGCCGAAGTTGATATACCCTTGCAGATTATTCTGTAAATTATATTCTCCAAAATTATTCATATGATGCATTCTTAATACTCATAAAAATCCAAACTTCCTAACTTTAAAAACACCAAAGTTATGGAATTTCCAATCGTTCAGTTATATGGCAGCTACAAGATATAGGCGGCCGATCCTTATGAAATTTGATAGGTCGGATTAATTGGGCAAAAATAAAACCCATAGAAAATCCCAACTTCTTAACTTTACAAACATCAAAGTTAGGGCTTTTCCGATCGTTCAATTATATGGCTTCTATATGATATAATCGCCCGATCCGGCTCGTTCCAACTTATATACTACCTGCATAAGAAAGACAACTTTTGGGAAAGTTTCAAGCACATATCTTTAAAACTGAGGAACTAGTTTGCGTAGAAACGGACGGACGGACAGACGTACAGACGGACATGGCTAGATCGACTCTCCTGGTGATGCTGAAGGGAATGTCTCCTTCACTGCGTTGCAAACTTTTGACTGAAATTATAATACCCTCTGCAAGGGTATAAAAATCGAATTTTTAACATGCAAAACTTCTTATATAATTTTGTGACGAAGAATGATATAACATTACACTAAACATTCTAATATTTTCTCGTTCGACCCGACTTTTTTACCTCTTTAAGTTTGATTCACTAGAAGTGAAATCCCACCTTCAATTAATTCAGAATGTATATTTAAAATCTAGACGTTTGAAAACCGTCGCAATCCGTCCATTTCAAGCCATAAACTAAGTTCCTCTGACTTACGTAACTTTTTAGGTTATGGAGCGAGCAATGTGCCACTTTGAGAACTGCTACCGAATACCCAACATCCGTGTGTTTGGACGGATGTGCAGGACCAATCTGGCTACAAACACGGCCTTCCGCGGCTTCGGGGGACCGCAGGGCATGTTCGCCGGAGAGCACATCATCCGGGATGTGGCCCGGGTCGTGGGTCGCGATCTGGTGGACGTGATGCGGCTGAATTTCTATAAGACGGGTTACTACACGCACTACGAGCAGAAGCTGGAGCACTTCCCCATCGAGCGGTGTCTGGAAAACTGTCTCAACCAGTCGCGATACCACGAAAGGCGCTCGGAGATCGCTCGATTCAATCGGGAGAATCGCTGGAGGAAGCGTGGGATGGCAGTGGTGCCCACCAAGTACGGCGTCGCGTTTGGAGTGCCGCACCTGAACCAGTCGGGTGCCCTGGTCAATATCTATGCCGACGGATCCGTCCTGCTGTCCCACGGAGGCGTGGAGATTGGCCAGGGACTGAACACCAAGATGATCCAGTGCGCTGCCAGGGCCCTGGCCATTCCGGCCGAGCTGATCCACATCTCGGAGACGGCCACCGACAAGGTGCCCAACACCTCGGCCACGGCGGCCAGTGTGGGATCGGATCTGAACGGCATGGCTGTCCTGGAGGCTTGTGACAAGTTGAGCCGACGACTGGCGCCGATCAGGGCGGCCCTGCCCGGCGGCACCTGGCAGGAGTGGATTCGAAGGGCGTACCTCGACAGGATCAGCCTCTCGGCCACCGGATTCTACTCGATGCCGCACATCGGCTACCACCCGGAGACGAATCCCAGTGGCCGCACCTACAGCTACTACACGAACGGAGTGGGCGTCACCGTGGTGGAGATCGACTGCCTGACTGGCGACCATCAGGTGCTCAGCACAGACATCGTCATGGACATCGGGTCGAGTCTGAATCCGGCGATTGACATTGGCCAGATAGAAGGGGCGTTCATGCAGGGCTATGGCCTGTTTACCATGGAGGAACTGGTCTACTCACCGCAAGGGATGCTCTGCACCAAGGGTCCGGGCATGTACAAGGTTCCAGGATTTGCCGATATCCCCGGAGAGTTCAATGTAAGCCTTCTGACAGGTGCCCCCAATCCACGGGCTGTGTACTCCTCTAAGGTAAGTTTTAAAATAGATTAAAAAAAGAAAAAACACACTCGTTTTGAATGTTAATTAGAAACATGGATGTTTTTGTTTATTCATTTTTGTGTGGAGCTCTTAGCCCAATTAAATGGAACTGTTTCTTTTGTCTGGTGTCTGTTTTTAGAGCACTGTGCCCAAAAAAAAATTGCAACTGCATATTATATCTTTAATCTTTCAACAGGCAGTAGGGGAGCCCCCTCTCTTCATAGGAGCATCGGCTTTCTTTGCCATCAAGGAGGCCATTGGAGCTGCTCGCCAGGATCAGGGCTTGAGTGGAGACCTTCAGCTGGAGGCACCTGCCACCTCGGCCCACATTCGAATGGCCTGCCAGGATAAATTCACCGATTTGGTTGGTTCAATCTTGACAAGTTACAAAAGAAAATAACCATCTCAATATACCTTTCTCCTTGCAGCTTGAAAAACCCGAGGAGGGAGCCATCACCCCTTGAAACAATGTGCCATAAATATGAAATTCATATACTTTAAAAGCCAGCTTAAGAAATATGTTGCGACGATTTTAAATGTATTTTCAATTTTTAATAAATATGATGGTGTTCATAGTAATGATTTAAAAATACGTATTTGTTTTACTCCAAGTTATTCAAGGATGTTGTACCGGTTAATATATATTCCAGAAGGATTACAATTCATTCTAGGAACAGCTATGCCTTATTGCTATATGGAGATGCACTCACTTGTAATATACCAAAACCTCGACTTAACGAATTTTTTTACGGGAACGTAAAAATGTATGCAAATAACCTTTGTGCTGTTGGTTTGAATAGATTTATGGGAATTTTACTTTGAAAAAATGTTCCCAATTGTATTTATGAACAAATTGCATACATATTTAAGCAAATGTTTGGGTTCCACTTACCTCAAGTCAAAACATTCCATCAAAAACTTGTTTACCTACCTATTTAAAATCGCAATTATTATTTTTCATGTGATTTCTGTGCTCGCCAACAGCAATGAAATGGACTAATTATTTAGTGATTTTCAGCGAATACACATACAGATGAAGATTTTGGTAAGGAGAATTTAACGACATTAATAGATAGGCATATGCTTATGCGTATACAAAAGTACATAAAGTGTACATACATACGAGTATATGATGTCATTTGCGAAACAAATCAATTAACATTATTCATTCAAAAATAATAAATTGTCATAATTAAGCTTGTATGCTGTTAGCTCTTTGAAGTGTCACAAAAATAATAAAGGCAAACACAATCGTTCTGCTACAAATATTAAAGGATGAATTAACACGAAAGTATGAAAACTTTGGCAAACCGAAATTTATATATCCTTGCGCTAAAAACAGTAAGGGTGTGTCGATTTTCGGGTACTTTTTTCGATAGCTATTTGGTATAGTCTTCCAAATTTTTATAAAATATGAACTGTAATTCTGAAATTAAAAATAATTACTTTATTATTATTATTAATAATATTTAAAATGCAATAAAAATACGACTTTTGGAAAATGAGAGATTGACCCTTCTGGTAATGCTGGGCAATAAAAGTAGGGTCTAATATCACCTATTTACGAAATGTAATGATGCAATTTTTGATACCCGTTGAAACGTATGTTAATATGTTAGAGACCAGTTATTGAGTAGTCCACATATCTATCAAAACACCAAATCCCCAGCAAACTTATCTGAATTTGGAAAAAATTAACCAAAACTTCTTCTCTAAATAGTGAAGAATATGCCCAACAAGGAATAGCTCTATATTCGAGTGCCCAGACTGTGGGATAAATGATATACATATCTTACTTTGTAGGGTCGGAACTGCTTTCTATTCCCGTTACATACTTTTTATGAATACCATATATGAATCTACCTTACCGAGCAAGAGATATAAAATCTTTTAAATTTTAAATTAATAATATTGTTTTCAGAAAGTGTACAATGTTGTTTTTGAAATTACAAATTTTATTTGTATATTAAAAGTCGTAGTGGAATGCTTAAAGCATTAGTTTATACACACTTTCAAGTGATTTCAAATCACTAGAGATTTCTGTGACCATAAAAGGGCAACATGGGGCGAGCACACAAAGAGTAGAACATTTTGGTAAGGCCACTTTGCGACATTTTAATTTAAATGCTAATCAGTTGCCAATAGACAAAAAAGAACGAACCTATCCCACCTCGAGTGCAATTCATGTTCCCGGGTGTACGTGTGTGCCAGGGTGTGTGCAGAAACTGCAACTCATTTGGAAGTGGGAAGGTGTCCTGTTCTGGATGGGCTGCATGGGCTAGATGGACTAGATGGACTGGATGGACTGGATGGGCGCAACAGCAACAGCGCTGCAATTTGTATTTAAAATGTCGGCCATTGTGGATTAGCTGAGACAGAGAAGCAGCCAGGAGCATGTCAAAAACACGACACTTGAAAAAATATCCCATCGATTATCAAGAAACCCCACTCGTAACCAATTTTTTCTAAAATTTATATCGTATATTAAAAATCCATTTTGTAAAAGCTAGCTTTAATAAATTTGTTCGCCAAAATCTAGCCAATATTTCCACACATGATTTTTTTTGAATTGGAATTGCGATTTTCCTTTGAAAGTAGAAAAATATTAACAACATTGGAGAAAATTAACACTAAAATGAAAGTTATTCCTACGGCTCAGGTCTAATTTAGCTTACAAAATGGAAAAAATATAACCATATTTTTAAAAGTTTGTCATTTTTCGTTTATACAGCGGTTTTGGAGAAGTATTTATATGAGTGCATAAATATACGGCCGAAAACTTTATACGATCTGAAGGTGGTGTACCAATAATCTATTATATTTTAATACAGGTGTGCCAATTCCCAGCTCATTGTTCTTTTTCTCCATGACATGATTGTGCAAGAAATTAAAAATATTTTGTGTAAACTAGTAATATAGAATTAAATGTATAAATAACATACTAATATATAACTAAAATTAGGACCACATAACGTACGTTTCTTGTAGCCAAAGATAAATTTTAATAGTAAGTTTTATTATACGAATTTTTTGCGAGTGAACATAGTTACCTGAAGCTTTTTGCTGTTGCTATTTGGGTGCCGTGTCGTCATTATCATTTGCATTTGCATTTTCGGCCTGCTCACTGTCGGCTGGTTGGGTAAATATTGCCATTTTATGCAGCGTCCACGAGATGCCATCGAAGGAGGCGACAAGGAGTGTAAAAAGTGGCGAGGCGAGAGGACAGGTTGCCCCTCATGAACTTTGGCTATAAAAACAAATTGGACGGGGTCGTGGGCGCTATGGTGCTACATGCAGTTACCCAGGGCCTTGTTGTTGCACTTAATAATCTGTTAGCTTGCGTTATTTTAATTTGAATTCAATCGATAACGATTGGCGCCAATCGAATGCACCCGTCTCAAAGCTGCCTGCTGTGGCACACACGCCAGCTGATCAGTGTTTCCAACTGCGCTGTCGAAAAAAAAATATGTCAACAGTAACTACTAAAAGATGTATATTCTCTTTTTGATATGTATTTTTCTACGAGTGATTAGAATATAATGTCAAAAATGGCTAAATAAAGCCATAAAATAAAAATAGCCAAAATGCCGAGAGCCAAATCTAGCTACAAAATATCTGACATGTCCCACACTATGGCAGATTAAGTTCATTTTTTTTGCCGTTTCGTTTAGTTTACATTTTGCTTGTTTATTTGCGATCAATCGCTCATTCCGCTCGGATCGCCTGCCCCGCCCCCCGCCTCCCACCCCCAATGGACACCCGGATGATGTGCACCTGCAAGGAAAACCAGGAGAGGAGCCACCGCCTGCTGCAGTTCACAAACTGCCGCCTAGTTCGAGGCCACCGGCTCATTCACGACGACTTGTGGGTGCGTGACGGCCGAATAGTGAATCCGGAGCCCGTCTTCTTCGATGAACAGGCCAAGGCCCACTGTCGGATCGACTGCGGAGGCGCCATCGTCGCCCCCGGCTACATCGACCTCCAGATCAACGGTGAGCTGAGTCCCGACTTCACCATCCCATCACTTTCCCATTACACTGAAGAAAATCAGGAGTTTTTTCAATCATGTTTCAACCCTAATTTCAATCCCGGTGTCGCAGAAACCACTTCAATTTTCAACTGAAATATTCAAGTCAAACTTAAGAGTAGACTAAAAACATTTTTATTTAAATCTTTAAAAATGTACACAGAAACACATCAAAAACTATAGATTTTGTGACACCGCAGGATTTGATTTTTTGGTGGAATTTTAAATCAGTCATCGGAGATTTTCAAGACACCCTACAACATCAATGCATAATATGAGTATTATTCTCAATTTAAAAATTTATCTTACAATTTTTAATATAAAAAGGAGATAAGATAGCTTATGTGCTTGTGTTTTGTTAATTCTAAAAATGTATTAATTTATACACCAATTTTTGAAATCAATTGCCGTTTCTATAGACAACTTTTTAAATTAACATCAAAATAGACATATAAAGAGCTCATTACAAAGCGATGTTTTTAAACTCATGAATATAATTTATACATATCAAAGTTAAAAAAAGTGAAAGTTAGGAGAGTTTATTACTAGAGAAATGGGCTGTTATTTTTCTCTTTGTGATGCCAATAATTGCCTCTTTCGCAGTTCAATTAGTCGCCAAGGTCGTAGGCACCGCAGTTCTGTTTACCCGTTGATGAGCCTCAATATGGAGCACTCGTAATCGGAGCGAGTTAATCTTATCGTGACTTCACAGGCCCCAGGCAGCAGCTTAACCACAGTGGGTCTAGGTAAAATGCACTGTGGTTGAGCCTTTAATGTCGCGATAAGCGGGTTCTTTGTCTTAAAAAGACCAATAGATTTATTTCAATTGTCAGTTGATTTCCATTATCAGTTTATTCTTTTAAAATTCATAACTTTTAAAGTTACTAAGCTGCTCTCTTTCGTGCCGGTTTCAAACACTGGCTAGAAAACGGTTTGGTCTTCTGTTCCGAATCGAATTTAATTTATAAATAATTTTAAGTAAAAAACATTATTTATTTTTTTTTATCTTTATTTAATCTAAAGATCGTTTTCTTAATTTTAGAGCATTTTTTTGATAAAGATTATTAATCATTAAGCCCGTGCCAAAAAAAATTGTTGAAACACTTCGAACTTTTTGTAATTTTTTATATAAGGGTATATCAATTCGAATTGTGTTAAAATCTTTAAGCCCAAAGGAATATTCATTAAAATGTAACTAGTAATTTGTTAGGCAAAGTCTAAGCAAAGATTCAGAAATCTTTTCGGATAAGTTATTGGGGTCACAGAAATTTTTTCCAAATTCATTTGGAAATTGTATGTACATTTACTACATTTCAATGATCATTTTAAGACCATACCCCACCCTAATAATATAAACAAGAAAGTGGTTACCAAAATAAAATATTCTATATGACACTACTTCAATTTTGCGATACATCGCCTGGTGATGCTGATCAAGAGTACGTATACTTTATAGGGTTGGAAATGTACTGGGTCGTTATGAAAGAAAACGTAAAACGGGTTTTAGGCGACGATGAAAATCATTATTTATAATTACTCTACTATTCGCTGTTAACATTCTTTTAAAACATTAAGGTTCCTGGAACCTGGGCATAACATAAAAATAGATAGTTATTATTGTGGTAGGCTTAGCCATTATTTCATCCAGCATAACTTTTATTTAAGAAGCAAAAAAAATAACTTTTATTTACAGAATGTCATAAAAATAGTCTTTGGAAGACTTTTATTTTTTGATTTTTATTTTTAAAAATCCGGAATAACTGTTAAATAATAAAGGCAAGAAAAAGCTAAACGCTTATTTTTAAGAGATAGGATAACAATAATATATAAATATTGTTTTATTATTTTGATAGAAAATATTATTAACAATAGTGTCCTGGGTGCAATTTTAATTCTTATAAGAATTTTTTGGGATGACTTTTTGATTCAAATTGTTTCAAATAACTCTTATCTTTACTCCCTGATTTTGGCATTAGATTATTAGATTATTTTTTATAAGAATGTAATTTTTGAAATTTATTTATATGTTTTACAGGTGGCTATGGAGTGGACTTCTCTTACGACACCGACACAATCGAGGAGGGCGTGACCACGGTGGCTCGCGGTCTGGTCAAAAGCGGGGTCACCTCCTTCTGTCCCACGCTGGTGACCTCGCCCAGCGACAGCTACCATACAATATTGCCACGCATTCCCACAGATGTCCCAAAGGGTGCTGGAATCCTGGGCATCCATGCCGAGGGTCCTTTCATCAATCCGCAGAAGAAGGGTGCGCATCCGGAGAACTGCATACAGACTATTGATAAGGTGGGAAATTATTGATACGGCATCCTTTTTTATAATCTAGTTTTCATTTTAAATTCAACTATTGATTGAACTATTTATACCCGTTACTCGTAGAGTAAAAGGGTATATTGTATTCGTGCAAAAGTATGTAACAGGTAGAAGGAAGCGCTTCCGACCCTATAAAGTATATACATATATTCTTGTTCAGGATCACTAGCCGAGTCGATCTAGCCATGTCCGTCTGTCCGTCTGTCCGTCTGTCTGTCTGTCCGTATGGACGCTGAGATCTGGGAAACTATAAAAGCTATAAGATTGGCATTTTGCATGTAGATTTTAGGAGTTCTTACGCAGCGCAAGTTTGTTTCACAGTGTTGATGCTATTATGAAAATTTTAATTGATATGTATTTGTTTCGTCAATACCTATCGATTGGCCTAATAAAAGTTTGCCACGCCCACTCTAACGCCCAAAAACCCATTAAAGGCTTAAGCCTAGCTAGCCCCTACATTTCCGCCTTTCATGGCCCGTGGAACCAATGTCTTGGGATAGATGGCGCAATGCAATAGCGCCATCTAACAGATGACTTTGGAACAGCTGGCCAAGGTGCTAATTCGAGCGGCGAAAAACATACAAGAAGGCATATTTATATTAAGTTGTTTAGCTGAGTAACGGGTATCTAATAGTCGAGGCACTCGACTATAGCGTTCTCTCTTGTTATACCCGTTACTCGTAGAGTAAAAGGGTATATTGTATTCGTGCAAAAGTATGTAACAGGTAGAAGGAAGCGTTTCCGACCCTATAAAGTATATATTTTCTTGATCAGGATCACTAGCCGAGTCGATCTAGCCATGTCCGTCTGTCCGTCTGTCTGTCCGTCTGTCTGTCTGTCTGTCTGTCCGTATGAACGCTGAGATCTCGGAAACTATAAAAGCTAGAAGATTGGCATTTTGCATGCACATTCTAGGAGTTCCTACGCAGCGCAAGTTTGTTTCAAAAAGGTGCCACGCCCCCTTTAACGCCCACAATCGCTTATATACGATTTCAAAAATTTAAATATTTCGGAAAAGTAAAAATGCAGTTTTATTGTGTTTATCAATACCTATCAAATCGGACCATTCGTTAAAAAGTTATGCGTGATCAAAGTTTCTATCTCCATCTCCCTCGCACTCCCTTTACCTGAGTAACGGGTATCTGATAGTCGGGACACCCGACTATATATTCTCTCTTGTTTTTATATGAATTCGAGGTACACTTGGGTGTAATTTCACAATTATGGTAAGTCGAAAAACGTTCTGAAAATTCCGTTGTTTGATATTAGTTCAGTAGTTTTGTACCTTCCAATATATGTATAAAAATAAGAAAAATTTTAATTTTTTACTAAAATACAAATTAAGAGTTAATAGAGTAAAACACAAGTGTTTTAGATCTCTTCAGGGCTATAAAAACTCCGTTCTATAAATCGACCCTTCGTTCTTAGATTTTCTCCTTTTGTCCAACCACAGGGACTGACCACGCTGGAGGGCACGTACGGATCCTTGGAGCGCATCAAGATCATCACCCTGGCACCGGAGAAGGTCACTGACCCGGAGGTGATTGGCCAGCTGGTGGACCGGGGGATCACAGTGTCCCTGGGCCACTCGATGGCCTCGCTGAGCGATGGAGAGCGTGCCGTGCAGCAGGGCGCCACGCTGATCACGCATTTGTTCAACGCCATGCTGCCGTTCCACCACCGCGACCCTGGCCTGGTGGGACTGCTCGCCTCGGACGCAGTGCCTCACGGAAGGACCGTGTACTTTGGCATCATCTCGGACGGAGTGCACACGCATCCGGCTGCCCTGCGGATCGCCTACCGCACGCATCCGCAAGGCCTGATCCTGGTCACGGACGCCATCTCGGCCTTGGGGCTGGAGGAGGGTGTGCACCACATAGGACAGCTGCCCCTGCAGGTTAAACAGGGTAAGGCATTTATCGCGGGCACGGAAACCCTATGCGGCAGCATCGCACCCATGGACGAGTGCGTGCGGATCTTCCAGAAGGCCACAGGTGAGTGGGATCAGGAGTGATCATAGCTGGAATTATTGTTGAGCACCACGTCTTGATTTTTGCAGATTGCTCCGTTGTCTACGCCATTGAAGCGGCCACCTTGCATCCCGCACAGTGCCTGAAAATCGAAAAGCAGAAGGGAACATTGGACTTTGGTTCCGATGCGGACTTTGTTCTCCTGGACGACAATCTCCGGGTGCTATCCACCTGGATAGCAGGGACATGTGTTTATCAGACTGTCAAGTAGTACATCAAATGTACAACTCGCAAAAATATTATTTTTTTTTTTTAAGGATGTATTTTATACCCAAGTTTCTCCAAATAAATTGTTAAATTTATACATTCCATAAATGGAAAAAGTCAGTTTAACATCATTAATTATTAACAGTAGTAGCTGAAGCATATTTCAGCATAATTAATGAAAAAATAATTTTCTTTTTGGAAAGTCCGATCATGTTGATAATGAATTCACTTCATGGCTATATATACTATTGTAAAGGATGAACCGCATCTACAAAAATAAAAGGTATATGTACTGACTAATTAATTTCAATTTATTTTACTTCACAGCCAATTAAATCTAATTAAAATCAGATGGAGCAATAACAATAATAAATTTATTGGACACGAACAATTTGATCTATTTGTACACCCTTGTAGATGGTATTAAAATTTGAGGCAAAAGTTTGCAACGCAGAGAAGGAGACATTTCCGACCATTTAATATTTATACATGAATCAATTAGGTATCTAGCTCGAGATATTTAGTCTTTACTAACGATGTAGTAGTTATAAAGAACACCACATTTTTGTTAAAGCTGCAAGGGTATATTAACGTCCGCTTTTCAAAGTTAGCTTCCTTTCTTGTTAATAATTTATACATTGTTAATAATACATACATCAATATGTTAAACAAATCAAGGATTCCCCATTTTGTAATCAAAAAATTCCTAGGTATCCAGACCAGAGCTTGGCTAATTATTTCCGTAACTTCCTTACCACCCAAAAAAAGTCATTCGATTTATTTGACATGGTTTAGGTTGTTCTTTATAATTTTTAATCGGTAAATCATTTGGTGTGGACAACTAAACTAAATCCATATACAGTTACAAATAATAGGTTTACACGAAAAAAAATATTAAATAAAATTACAAGAGACAGGAGGAAAGCGCTTGATGGTGCGTTGGGGTTGGGCGCTCCTCCTTGCGGATGCTACATGGCGTGCAACGTCCTTACATACATACATGGAGATATACACGCGCGCACACCCACGCCCCCTTAAGTGTACACATATATATATAATGGGTGTACGGGCGCGAACGCACATAAAAACGATGCAATATTATGGTGTATAAATATATATATAGGCAATAATCAGAAAACAATTTCGGAACAGCTCAAACTCTAACTCTGGCTTGATGAGTGACTGCAGAGTGTCTACCCCCTACCTTCCCATCGAACTCTTCACTGGCTTAGTATCGACAAACAAAGCGAAAGCAAGCTAGATATATGCTATATACTATCCGATGTATAATATGTATAAGTGTTATTTATATCTAGGCTGAAACGCAAAACAAAACAAAACACTAAGTGGGGCGGCAGGGGAGTGCGAGTGATGGCGAACGAACGAACGGCTGAGTACAGGAATCGTAAGACTATGTATATATCAAAAGTTACGTTACAAAAGTTGCTTATGTCTGCGTCTTTGTTATCTTTATCTTTATCGTGTCATGTGGCTGGATAGTCCCTGGAACTGATCTTCTGTCCACGCTAGCTAACTGAACAATTTGGCCCGAAATGCAATTAGTGGCTCCTCCTAACGGAGCTGTGTCCAAGTGCCGAGTGTGCGTTAACTAACGTAGCCTATTTTATCTGACCACCATCGTCCGGGGTTTTTGTAAAGTTGCTTCCAAATGTTTGTATTACAATATCTGTTGTTAAACTTTAGGTAGGTTGTTTCTGTTGCTTGTTCCATCTGCGTATCCTCGTAATAAGTAAGTTTCCTCCGTGCGAGTGACCCCGGGTTTATTGCTTTGTTTCCCTTCGTTTGTGCGGAGCAGTTTCAGAAACCGATCCCCACCGCATTCCAATTCAATCCAATCCGATCCAATTCCATCCTTCGCCTTCCCCACGCACATCTAAGCACAAACCGGGCCAAACCACGCCCCGTTTGCCCTTAACGCCGTTTTACGCGCAGCACTTGCTGTAGCCCGGCGCCTTCTCGTTGTTCCGGCGATCGATAATCACACGCTCCGGATTCTCCGCCGACTCGCGCCCCGATGTCTTGTCCAGAATGGCCTCGGCCAGCTCGCAGAAGGCCCGCTCGATGTTTATATTCGACTTGGCGGATGTTTCCATAAACCGAATGCCGTGTTCACGGGCAATCTACAAGTTGGGCGACATGGAAAAGAGAGAGAGGGTTTTAGACTTTGTAAACAAATTGATCGATCAAGCATCGGGCATATTTGATCATTGAAAAGCAATCATAATAAATAGCCTGGTGTGTTTTACCCTAAACTGTGAGTTTAATTGTCTATTCAATAGATTTGTTAACTTGAAAATAAAGCAACCATCAGGATTTGTTGCATTTATTTATATTAAGACCACTTTTAGTCGGGATAATGATTCATATATGAGCGAATTCAACTCAATAAATTTGTATGTTAATGGTCTTAAAGAAACATTAACATTTACTATCTGCGACGTCCATTGGAATACCATTTAATATGCAATTAATGGTACTTTTCTCTTACTTATAAAAGCAATTTGTGTAAGAATCTGTAATTGTAGTTGTTAATGTTTTGGGACAGTGTTATAAGCACAAAAGGTAAAATAAAACATGAATGATGAATCATAAGAATATTCGCAGAATACCGATCTCTGATCTCTGGCTTATTCTTATTTACATTTTAAATAATTTGAATTTTTTGAGTTTTTCCGGCTCGAGGTCAACAATTGAAAAATGTTATAAATAAAAATAATTTGTTTAATTTCGGTATCCAAGGCAAGTTCCTCTAAGGGAATAAGAAAGAATACGAAGTACGATAGGGGAAATAACGCTGTGTCAACTGATCCACTATCTGCACGGGTGGGGGTGATACCCCTATTGGAGGATACTCACCGCTTCGCCGCGCTCCTTGTTGACTACCCGCTTGTCCGTCATGTCGCACTTGTTACCCAGAATCATCTTTTCTACGTCCTCGTTGGCGTGCTGGAAATGGGTTAATACAGGGTTATTAAGTCGCAAAGGGGTTCATACATCTTTCGCTGGGGTCGGGTCACTCACCTCGTCGATATTCCGCAACCATTTGACTATATTCTCGAAGCTCTTCTCGTTCGTTATGTCATAGACCAACATTATGCCCATGGCCCCTCGATAATACGAGGTGGTTATCGTGTGGAACCGCTCCTGACCGGCGGTGTCCCATATTTGCAGCTTGATCTTCTTGCCGCGCAGCTCTACTGTTTTGATTTTGAAATCGATGCCTGAAAAATGGATCCGAAATCACAATGATAGTGCGGAAAAACAAACGCAAAAGAAGACCAATGACGTCACATTGGTGTTATCGATTATGTTAGCGGAACGCGGAGCTTGAAGTTCGCTATTTTGGAAACTAAAGTCCCCAGTGATATTACGATGATTCATTGCACATAGAACACACAAAATGTTTGCACGTCTGTATTACGTGTATCAATTTTGGTTTGGTACTTTAGTTTAGGGAGTTATGTATAGTCACATTTTGGGTTTTTGTTGTTTTGTAGGTGAAGTCAAAAGGCGATCGAAGCAAGCAGTGCGTCCGCCAGTCGATAAGGCAGTGCCACGCCCAGTCCCTCACACACACTTTCGCACATGTCCTGGCTGTACAGCTGATATATGTATGTATGTAAGCTCCCGTTACTCACCTATGGTCGAAATAAAGGTGGACGTGAAGGCATCATCCGAGAATCGGAACAATATGCACGTCTTTCCCACTCCCGAGTCGCCGATCAGCAACAGTTTGAAGAGCAAATCGTAGGTTTTCTTTGCCATTTCTAAAAACGAAACGAAACGCTCGCAGAACAAAGCACAAACACACGCGCACACTCACTCACACAAACGCACGTAGGTGACAAGCGATATTATCCAAACTTATTTTTTCCCGCACTTTTTCTTCTTTTTGGGTACTTATATTATGGGTCTAAAACTCTGCTGTCCCCGGTATTAAATGCGCCGAATAAATTTTTATTTTCGCTGGCAATTGTTGCTATTAGATAGAGCTGGAACCACAATCTGTGTTTATTCGATAGTAGCGAAGTTGCCAGAATTTGGCAATATCGTGGTTTTCCTGCGGCCATCGACTGTTTTCCCGGGATTTGTTAAAAACGTTACATATCCAAACTTTCAAGAAAAAAATTTAATTTTTTTACATTAGGAAAATTATTTTAAGGAACAACCATTAACATTCTGATTATTGAAACATTTGCTTTAACTTAGCTCGCAATCTTTGATTACGTCTAAAACCTTATTTATTTAATAAATATTTTTTATTAATATAGTTATATTCTAGGGCCAATCGGATGGCATGATGTGCACACTTTAACCAATTTCTGTGCCACTCCCATTAAACAAAATTTAATTTTGTATACATTTTTTCTCTATTTTGAGTCTAAGAAAGTATACGCGTATTAAACTGAGCAGTAAGAAGGCTTTAATAAATTATCATATGTATTGTATGTTGTCATGTTCTAAAAATGATATATTTTTGGTTGGCATTTTCCATTACAGCAAACTTAGTTCAAACAAAACTATACATAAATTAAAATTATACATAAATTATACAAAATTATTAATTTTTTAAAATTTCCATAGTTATCTTTTTTGAGAGATAGTTTGAGTGGTGCCTTTTCATACTTATTTGATTAATATTCTTATTTTCTTCGCAGGAACAAACAATATTTTTTTAAATTTCCAAAAAAAAATTTAACTTTATCCGACTTATTCGGAAATATTTTGACATATTCTGCTACATATAAATAAACAAAAATGTTGGCAACGATTGGACTAAAAAGCGAAGTCACCAAACGATATTTCATAAATTGTGACAGCCCTATTTTGCACGATGTGGCAGCCCGTATCGGCCAGCTCTGTCCAACCCTGGCGAGTAAAAACAGCACGCAAAGTGCGCCGTGTGCAACACTGGCGGCAATACAATATTCGCAAATCCGCAACTCAACTCGCAAAAAAGGAGGAGTTTCGCACAAAACAGGTAAGCAAAGGCCTGACTTTTAGTGACCAAGATCCCTGTTAGACCATCAAACCCGCAGGAAATGGATCTCGACTGGCAGAACAGCCTCACCGAGCTGAAGGATCGCGGACAGTACTTGCTGCACTCGGAAAAATGGGCCGACTGCCGATTCTTAGTGGGATCGGGATCCTCGCCTAACCAGCGCCTCATCGCCGGCCACAAGCTGCTACTAGCCATGGCCTCGCCAGTGTTTGAGCGCATGTTCTACGGCAATTTGCCGGACAAGACGGACCCGATTGTCATACCAGACGTTCAGCCGGAGGCCTTCGAGGCAATGCTGGAGTACATCTACACGGACCGCATCACCATCGGATCCTTCGACAAGGCCTGCGAGCTGTGCTACGTGGCCAAAAAGTACATGCTGCCCCATGTGGTTACCCGCTGCACCCACTTCCTGTGGGCGGACCTTAGTCCGAAGAACGCCTGTCGGGCGTACGAGTTCGCCAAGCTATTCGATGAGCCCCGGCTCATGCAGAGCAGCATGGACTTGATCGCGGCAAATACGCGCGAGGTCCTGTCCGACCCCAGCTTCCTGGACATCGAGGTCTCCACTCTGATGGCCATTCTCGACCAGAACCGGCTTAACATCGACTCCGAACTGGATCTGTTCAACTGCCTGCTGAAGTTCGCCAGTGAGCGGGGTATCCTCAACGAATCTGGCCAGGAAGAGACCGCTGGTGGGGGGCAGGTCCTGACCAAGGAGTCGCCCGACAACACCGGCGGCCATGTCCTGGTGGAGGAGATTAAGATGGAGCCCGATGTGGCGGCCATGGTGCAGCACATGCACCAGGACGACGAGGGCGACAGCTTTGAAACGGACGCCGGCATGGCTTCAACTTCCTCCACTGCTGCGGCTGCTGCTGCTGCTTCTACAGCAGGTTCTCCGCCACTGGACGTGGCCTCAGGCTCCGACGACCTGGTGATCATTGATAGCGACGGCTCCGCCGATGCCGCCGCTAACATGATCAACATCATGGACGCCCAGCGCACCATTCTCGACGGCGCCATGCTTCGCCAGGCCGTGAAGAAGATCCGGTTCCTCACCATGACGCCTCAGCAGTTCGCCGAGGGTCCCGCCCGTTCCAAGCTGCTGCAGCAGCACGAGGCCCTGTCCATCCTCATCAAGATCTCCAGTCCCACGCTCAACGACTGCCACATGCCAGAGGGCTTCTGCGTGTCCCGCAGTACGCGCAACTTCTACGAATCGGGTCACCGTCACGGCCAGCGGGAGCAGTCCTCCTCGTACCGTACCGGGGCTGCTCCCACCGGCGGTGTGTGCTTTCCGGGACCGGGTCCGGCAGTCCGGCCTGGCTGCGGCGGGATGATGATGGGAAATGCACCGCGCTTTGGGTCCATCAGCGCGGGATTCGGCTTTGCGGGCGAGGAGCTGGTCATGCGCGCCCCGGAACCAGTGGGTGTTACTTCCGATGCTGCGCCAGCTCCAGCGCCAGCCACACTGCGTTGTTTCGGCGAGGGCTATGAGGGCGGAGCAAGTGTTCCTGCGCCCGCCAACGAGGACGAAGGCGGCGATAGAGGGGGGCCAGCGCCCGCGGGTGGAGCGCCAGCTGGTGGAGCCGGATCCGCCGCTGGAAACTCGCACAACGACATGGTGCGCGCATACTGCATGCGCTCCCTCACCCGCCAGTTTGACTTCCGCAACACCAGCGTCACAGATGCGGGCGTGACCTTCCAGGTGGACACTAACATCTGGATCCTGGGCGTGCAGGTGCCTACGCGCGTGCTGTGCGGTGAGCTGATGACCTCCGCCGGCTTCACGGAGCGATACACCGAAGTGCTGTACGCTCACATCCAGGACATGCATGGCTCAAGGATCACGTACACCCACTGCACGGCGCGAGTGCGCTACGACTCCCTGCTGGACATCACGTTCGACCGACCTGTATACATCTACAGGAATCAGATCTACAAGATCTATGTGGTGTTCAACAAGACCGGTTGGTATCCTATGTACTCTTGTGCGCCCGACGCGAACTGCCATCGCGTCAAGTTTATGTTTAACGTAGGCAATCCCACGGAATCCGTTCGGGACGGCCTCATCTACGCAATCATCTTCTCCACGCCGCAGGACCATGGCCGACACCTGGTCGACTGAATCCGGAGCAATAATTAGTTTAGCTGATTTTTTGTATTTTCGATGTGATAGGCTTAGGTTGGCATCTTTGGCCATGGAAATTGATTGATCTGTACGCTGAATTTGTTCCCATTTAATATTTACAAACTGGGAACTAATTCTGCATTGTTTTATACATCGGATTACATTGGATATTTAAAGAGAGTTTCTTTATTTAACGTCTTTTTGGATTGTTTGTGTTCCTTATTTGAATTGGCATAATACATTGAATTATTTAGAAATTTCATAGTAGCAATTAAACAAAAATGAGTTTGCTTGACCAGCAATGTAAAATTGTCATTAGATATGTTTTAATATTCCTTTTACTATTTTTGTTTTGCCGAAATCAGTTAGTATCGGTAAGCTGTAGCCAATTCTGCATTTATTTTGCCGCGTGCTTTATTTCAGCTGCCGAACGATAATGACTTTGTAAAGAGTAATTTTGACACACTTCACTTGAATTTTTACTCCCAAGAATAATTTTTTTAACATAGTGTTTTTTAAATCAGAAATCTAATATTTTAAGATTTACACAGCACGAAATTTATATATTTCTATTAATAAAAACATATTTAATAGGTTAATGTACACCACTAAGTCTTTCGTTTTTATTGGAAAATATTTTATTTACAAAAGTATATAGGGGAGATTTAATTCTGCTATTACTTTAATAGTTATTAGGGTTTAATTGATAAGTATATTTTGAATATAGCGCTTTCAATAATTACAAACGAAATTGTTTTATTAACTATTCGAAGATTACCCTAGCAATAATAAATATGCCAAAACGGAAATCGCAAACCTTGAAGGCCGGAAAGGAACTACAAAATTGTGCCCGAAAAGTTTAAGGACCAATTCCCCTTGGCCAAAAAACTGTTTTTTAGTAAGCAATTACGCCTTGAAAAAATGTACAATAAATAAAATTAACTTTATTGCGATTCATATACAAAAGAGACCAAACAACAAACAAGTTAATAATACAGAAAAGTTGACAATAAAAGGGTAGCGGTTAACAAGCGGTTGGGCTGGGAAGTTTTTTACAGTGCATGCGATATACAGAGGGGTAGAAGTAGTTAGTCGGAGCATCCATCTTTACACACATACAGTGCACACTCGAAAACAGCGAAAACTTTTAAACAACAGCTCGTGTCTTACAGCAAACATTTTTTCTTTAATTTTTACGTTCACATAATCGTGTTTTTACTCTTTCGAGCTTTCACTGTAGCATGTTCGTGAGTATATGTATATACAGAGCGATCGGCGATCCCTATTTGCCGTAGTTGGCGCAGCTTCCGCTGGCGTACTCCGGCTCCTCGCAGGTCAACGTGTGCTCGTCGAAGACCTTGTCCTCGCCGCAGCTGATCAGGCGGGGATGTCCCTCGACGCAGGTGATCAGGCGGTGGCAGTCGCCAGAGACCGGGAAGCGGGGGAAGGGCCAGAAGCGGGCGGCCACCGAGTTCGGATCCACCTTGGTGGGGCACTTGAAGCCGACGACAGCTGGGGAGAATAGGTAGACGGTTAGAGATCGTGAGAAATGGATACACAGTAAAGGCCCCATCTTCAGTTCTAGTCGTAATAGACCCAACATGATATTTTATTGAATATAATCGAAAAGGATCTTTTGCTTAAGTTAGGTCATGTTGGTTCACTTGCGGATGTTTGCATAAGTTTTTAAGGCGATTTGGTCAGTATCGTTATGTCATCAGAAAGTTAACAAGAAAATAACATTTCCCTACAAAAGTACATTTTATCATTTGTGCAAATCGAAATCGACTTAATCGTTCTAACAGGAACAGGCCTGTATGTTTCTATGTTAGCCTTAGCTTCTGATAAGCTTAAAAGTTCAAGGTAGTATTCTAAGCGAGACAAAATAATTACTTCTTATAAAAATATGAATTTTAATTTCGTTTGGGTGTTAATGTTTAATACATTTTTTCAGGAAACCTACCAAACATGGTTGTTGTTGGCAATATATTGACTTTTACACTATTTTTGATGGCTTTGAGCAGTTCTCGCTTTAAGATGTACGAGGGTGAAATCTTTTGTAAGAGTGTCAATTATAGAATTTGTACAATCATTTTGAAACCGGAACTATTATGGAATATGGTCAAAAGATAACGTTGTGTTTCTTGGCAGTCTAAAAATTCTAGAAAATCTCTAGTGGCATCCCCCATAGTTTGACTTAAAGCCTTACCCTCGGGATTGCAATGGTCCAGCAGCTGATCCGGCCAGTTGCAGCCGTGGATGCGTTCGTCGTAGGCCAATCCTGCGTCGCAGTCCTGCTCATGGGGCTCGCCGTGGGCGCACTTGATGTACGTGGTGGAACAGTCCTTGGAAACCGCGTACAGACCGAACTGGTACTCGCAGGCCGGCGTCGAGATGGGAGTGGCTGGGGGAATAAAGGACACCTGTTCAGTAAGCTATTCGCCGTGGCGCAGGACCTCCACTCACGATCCCACTGGCGACCCTTGCAGTCCACCGCCCAGTTGTAGTTGCAGTGGTTGTGCACCGCGCCCTTCCCGTCGAAGAGCAGGCCGTTCTCGCAGGTCTCCAGGGTCAGAGTTCCGTTGGTGCAGAGGAAGAACTGGTCGCAGTTCTCCGTGTGGGCGTACGCCTGCTCGCCGTACTTCTCCGGGCACTCCGGTGAACTCACGGCCAGGGCATGTCCTGGGAGTCGGAAAGAATGAAACGGCGATGAGTTAGAGGATACCTTTTTATAACGATACCCTTGCAGGGGGTATTATAATTTTGGTCAGAAGTATATTTGTATATATGTATGGAAATCAATATAGAAAGCCTCGTAGATATTATGGCTTTAATAGAAACCATCGGATACAATTTGAGATTTTGGGTTTTTCTTTTCTAAAAATTTGGGATATCTCTGGATGTTTAAATGATTAAAATAAATATTGAGAAAAATTGTATTTAATTGTATCACTTTAATATCACAGGTGCACTTAAACCATTAAAAAGTCATAGCATGCTAAATGAAACTTTAAAGACCTATTAAAGATCACCATGATGGTGATGTAAAAAAGTTTATGCTTGACTTTTTCCTTAGAAGGACCTAATCAAGAAAGAAAGATAACTTTGGGAAGTTAGAAATTTACTTATAGCATTTTCAATGAATCCGAATATTTCGATTTATCTGCTATAGGTTTTAAAAACAACAAGGGTTTGTCAACCTGTTCCGATTGTATTGCAGTTTTGCAGCTTAAGAAAAAAATTGTTATTTATGTTGTTGGCCAGCATCTCCAGGAGAGTCGATCTACTCAACCTTTCGCCCTTCTGTAGAATTTTACGAAAATAAGTCTCTCAATTTTAAAACTATCTAGATAATCTCATAAAATCGAAATATAGAATATTTATTTTTTGTAACACCTGGAAGGGTATGATGTCAAAGTGTGAAATGATTTGGCTGGGAACTAAGCCTTTGGAAGGGCTGAATGGGCTGTAAGCGACGCCATTAAACAGATATATCTCATCGGGCTTTAAAGGCGGTACCCACTGTTCCCACCATTGTCAAACCCGAATCGCAGTGGCGTCAACTTCCTTCCTGTCCGCCAGTCCGTCTATTTGTTAGCCCCCATTCCGCTCCACCCGGAGCCCCTGCTTTCCACCTGCCCAACTGGTTTTGGATTTTGTTTTTGATGCAAGTGCAAGTGACGCCACGACCACGACACTTTCGCGCATCTTCGCACCGCGTCTAGCGGCAACGCGATCGTAATAGCTTTGGAGCTGGTGTGACGTAAGCTCGAAGTGCCGATGCCATCGAGATCGGGCTACAGGTTGATTGTTGATTGTGGATTGTTGTCTGTAGTCTGTTGTCTGTTGTCTGTTGCCTGCTGACTGTTGATTGTCCACTGCGTGCCTGTCTGCTGACAATTTTCTCGAAGCCCACAGCCGAAAATTAAACCCCAAGCGCAGACACACATGCATATAGTTAAATCTCTAAAGATTTCCGGTAATTTGTCTCGGTCGCGGACAAATACTAAGTTCGAGGTGGAAATTTTATCGATCCGTTATCGTTTGGTTGTTGTCCTCGTTTTCTTAGAGGATTTCATCATCTTTTTAAACTAATTAAATCATTATCATCAACTTTAAATAGAATAAATTGAAATAACTCGTTACTGCGCTAGGCATCAGGTTATTATTTTTATATAATCGGCAACGATCGTTAAATAGGACATTTGGAAACTTTGATTATTTAATTGATCGTTTATAATGTAACGATCGTTAGATTGTCATCAATTAAATTCATATACAGTAGATCTTAAACATTTCATAGATTGTCTTATTAGGGGTGTACTAGATAAGCTTTTTTGAAAATGTTCCCAAGAAACCCTTAACAGTCGATAATAAAACCGTTTCTTACTTTTCAAACGACGTTATTTCCCAAAAGAACGTAATTGTGACGTAAGTGAAATCGATCGCTTATCGATAAGCTTACGCGTGTGGCAAATTTTTCGATCCTATGCGATGCGATTTGATCTGATCTATCAACCTTTCTGTTGGTCGAAACTGGTTGCCTTGGTTAACCCAGCACTAGATCGTTAAATGTGATCGCTTTCGCACTTAATTGTCAACTGGTTTGACGAGCCCAAGTTCTACTTTGGCCTGGGTTTGGCATTTGTTTTATTTAGTTCATTAACTTGTCGGATCGGATCGGATGCCTGATATATGGTGTATAATCCGCGCCCAGCACCAAGATTGCCGATCGGCCAAGTGACTCAGCGGTGGAAACAAAAGCAAAAGTGATCAAGTGATCAAGCCCCGTTTGCACACGATCTGCATGCCAAATCAGCTATAGCCATATAGATATGGCCATAGATCGGGGTGTATCGCGGGCTCAGTGGAGCAGGCGGGTTGCTGCTAATCTGAGGCCTAGCCTTCGGCTCAGAAACCAGTAATTAAAATATATTAAGATTCGAACTCGATTTTCGAGGTGAGAACAAAAGAGCTAACGGTCGCCGATTCGAAGGGGCTGTGCACATACTATATACACCTATCGCATTTGGTCACTCCACGCGATTGCAATGGAATTTTTGAAAGTAAAAGCTTCCATTTGGAGGCACACACACGCAAGTAATTGAAAGGTTGCGCTAATTGTAAGCGGGAGTGGTAAACCAAGGCCCTAACCAATATGTATGCGCATTGAAAAAAAGTATCGGGAATTAAGCTACTTACCACAGACAATCCAGGCCAGGATTAGGACACTGCACACTTGGAGTCGCTGCATGGTTCCTAATGTGTGGATATACAAGTGTAGCAATGTGTAATAACGGAAATGCAAAATGAGCAACCACAAACAAAAGCACACACACGCACCGCAAAAAAATAAATTCAAATATTCAATACGCGCAAAAATATTCAATATCCCCCAGAAAAGCTTCAAACTTCCGCTGCAAGAGGTCTGTACGTTTTAACGGTTACGCGTTCCAAACTCAACTGAAAAGATTTATACCGCGCTCCAAGAAGAAGAAGAAGAAGCGGCGGAGCAGCGACTGCGCGGCGTTGGCAGCAAAAAACAGAAAAACAGAAGAAACGTGGTCAAAACCGACATAGCCAAACCAAACCAAGCCGAACCAAACAAAAACAAAGTCCCACAAACGAAAACCAAAGGTTTGCAAAACTAAAATTTTGTATATTTTTTGGGTTTCTTGTTTTTTGTCTGCCTTTGATCGTTTGGGGGCGTGGATGGGGGATTGCGACGATGGGCGGTGGGTGGTGGATGGTGGATGGTGCTGTGTTGTCACAGCTATCATTGTTGTTGTGTGAATGCAAAACGGGATTTGGGTTGTGGAGTGTTGCCAATGCAGCTATTTTTTCTGTCAAATCGCCCGCTAGTCGAAACTAAAAATACTGTAGCAGCCAAGTCTCGAAAGAAAGGAGTTTTTCTCATTCCCTTCCACGTAACAAATTTTATATCAATCGGACCAATATATCAATCAAAAACAAGAAAGGAAAGCTAACTTCGGGCGGAGCCAAAGTTGATATACCCTTGCAGAATATTCTGTAAATTATATTCTCAAAATTATTCATATGATGCATTCTTAATACTCATAAAAAATCCCAACTTCCTAACAGTAAAAACACCAAAGTAATGGCATTTCCAATCGTTCAGTTATATGGCAGCTATAGGATATAGTCGGCCGATCCTTATGAAACTTAGAAGGTCGGATTGATTGGCCAAAAATAAAACCCATAGAAAATCCCAACTTCCTAACTTTACAAACACAAAAGTTATGGCATTTCCGATAAATCAGTTATATGGCAGCTATAGGATATAGTCGACCGATCCTTATGAAATTTGGTAGGTCGAATTGGCCAAAAATAAAACTCATAGAAAATCCCAACTTCCTAACTTTAAAAACACCAACGTTATGGCTTTTCCGATCGTTCAGTTATATGGCAGCTATAGGATATAGTCGGCCGATCCGGCTCGTTCCGACTTATATACTACCTGCATAAGAAAGACAACTTTTGGGAAAGTTTCAAGCACATATCTTTAGAAACGGACGGACGGACGGACAGACGGACATGGCTAGATCGACTCTCCTGGTGATGCTGATCAAGAATATATATACTTTATAGGGTCGGAAATGTCTCCTTCACTGCGTTGCAAACTTTTGACTGAAATTATAATACCCTCTGCAAGGGTATAATGACATTGACTTTCGCCAGAAGGTATGCAGAGATTTTAACGAAGATATTTAACGGTTTTTGATCACAAAGACAACTTCCATGGGTAACTGTAAATAATTATTGTAATCGGTTTTGACTATATACAGTATATATGAATATTTTTAATCAGCATCTGAGTTGATGTAGTTAATAAAGGTATGATCTTCGAAATCTCGGGAACTATAAATCATAACGATTGGGGTTGAATTTGCAGACTAGTTGGTTTTTTGGTCGGTTGTTTTCGGTGAATAATATTAAAATTTGGTTTGGAGTTAATTTAAATGACTTCCTGTATCGTTTTGAGCGAATCGCTTTATTTGATATTTGTGATAAGGATCGGAACAAATTATCTAGTTTTCAGCGCGGTCAACTTGGACCCACCCTGCCCTACATGTATGCATAGATGGATCAGCATCTGGCCATTTCCCATCAACTAAAATAGCTAGTTCACTCCCGAACAGCCGACAGCACTGGATGACTGAGGAGGAAATCAAGCTTCTCTGCCAACATGTGTGATTGAAAGTAAAAGGTAAAGCTCGCGCAGACTATAAGCTTCATTCATGATTGGGTCCCGTTTGCCGTTTGCCGATTGCCGTTACATTGTTAACTATTGCAAAACTTTTGATTTTGCTTTTGCCTTGCTTTGCTGCTGCGTCGATTGCATAACACCTCTTGACTGCTTTTTTGTTTTATTTACATGTGGGGTTGCTGCTCTTTTGCTTGCTTTTCTTTGGCCACTCTGGTAATGGTAATTAACGACTCTTTGTGTCCGCTGGATTGACAAAGGGCTATAATGGATAATGGAGGACCCACCGCCATTATCCGATATTTCGTTTCCCAGGGTTGCGTGTGGAGTGAAAGGTTTGCTTGATTAGTCGATCACACCCTTCGATGGGTACGGAAAGCGATTATTATTATTTCCAAACGAGATGTATAGATTTGAAATAGTGTCTTTTATTAAAAACCAAGTGAAAATTACTGGGATGGAATTGGTTACCGAGGAGTATTGCCTAACAGTAAGATATTTAAAGTCGAATGTGTGATGACTTAATTAATAAAATAGGTGAAACGTGCATGTAGAAACTAGATTGGGACATTTGTTGACGGCTTTGTACACATAGCACTTGAAATAATACAAAATATCGGACAAGTCAATAAGTTAACATTCAACCTGTATGTCCAAATTATCGTGAATTAGAAAATATTAAATCAAGTATTGAAAAAATAAAGATATAGAAAAGATTTCGATTTTATAGGTAGGTAAGAAACGGTGGTCTGCAAAGTAAGAAGGCCAAGCAGAAAATAAGAATTTTAAGCATATAAAAATATGATAGTAATAACGTAAGATATATATGAAAAAGAAGAAGTCTGAATACAGAGTGTAATATTGTAAAATGACAGATTATAAAAAATATAAAAAAATGTGGACGGAGTTATAGGAAAAGGGAAAAATAGCCAACAATTTCAGAAAGTCATATTTCAGATTGGTCCTGATAAAAGTACGTACATAATAAAAAATTTAAAGAGCAGAGGATTCCTTGGAATTATTAAAAATAAAAACAGTAAGGTAGATAATATTGATGTTGCGAGGATTAAAAGATAACAAAGACTTTTTAAAGAAAAGCACAGAGGATAGCTGAAATAAAATACAGATAAAAGAGATCATAGTCAGAGGAGTGGGAAAGATAGATCTTTTAGTAAGTATAGTTTATAAAAAATTCATTTTATTCTTTTGTTTAATAATTAGGTGAAAGTCTGAAAATAGGAAATATATACACAACAGTTTGGTGGAATTCAGTTGGGCACAGAGATAGGCAGAGATAGAGAGTAAGGAAGGAAGTGTTTTAAAATAGGCCAGATTATAAGGGAAAGGAAAGGAAAGTACAGAGATAGAAAGTCAGATGGTCAGAGAGTAAACAGAATATTGAAGTTTAACTGCTACGCATACGTTCTATAGGAAATGGGCTAGAACTACTAACTTTAAGTGACTAAGACGCGAATCCGTGTTTTGTTTTTGTTTGTTCAGTGTGGCTGTGTGCATGAGTGTGAGTGTAGATGGGATGAGAAAGGGCACCCGGAAGTGGCTTAGTCCTTCTTGTCGTCCTTGTACCAGTCCTCGCAGCCGGGCACGTTCTCCGGGGCATCGCACATCTCGGTGGCATCGTTGTAGACCTCGCCCAGCTGGCAGCCCAAGTCCCGCGGATCTTCGCCGTTCAGGCACACGTAGAACTTCTGGCAGTCGGTGGGATGCGGGTACTTGGGGTGGGTCACCACCTGGCCGCGGTCGTCGCTCTTGGGCTGATCCTTGGGGCACACGAAGCCGGTCTCGGAAGTTCCTATAAATATGAGAAATATATTTAATCTCGGAACCGCTTCAAGACTCGTTTCGGGTACGTACTCTGCTCCGGGTTGCAGCCCTCGCGCTTGGCGGTATCGGGCCACACGCAGGTGCCCGAGTACTCATCAAAGTGGAGGCCCACGGTGCACTTGGTCTCTAGGGCGTCGCCTTCGATGCAGTTGTAGAAGATGTTGCAGACGGCGGGGTCGGGATGCGCGAAGAATCCGTTCTTGCGCGGGCAGTACTTGCTGGACTTGGGCTCCTCTGTAAATGGAAACCAAATGGAGTTAGGGAGATGACACAGCCGATTCATTGTCTACAACTAGCTTAGCAAAAGTACCGAAAGGAATTCTTTATTTCACTATTAAAGAAGACTTTTTTGTTTAGAGGATCCAGCGTTTTATCTGAAGATTTCAGAATCGTTTCCTTATTTTTCCGTATCTTACCTAAAACTACTTCTTTTTCTTTTGTGAGTTTTAAATTTGATGTGGTAAAATGATTTTAAGAAGACCTACCCAGTTTTTTCATTTATTAAAAACAAGCCACAATTTAATTTGGCCGAAATTAAGTCACTAACGAAAATCTCTCTTATCTGTTAGTTCCATACTATTTATCTGAGTAGAAAATATCAAAACTAATCTTTTTTTTTTGTTAAAAAAAACCGGAACTAATAACGGAGCGGCTAAGTTGAAAACAAACTTCATCTGAGTACGGACATTATACAGACAAACAAACGAGACTGAATCCACTAGTCTGATCAAAAAGTGAATAAAATTTATCCAAGCATGCCAAGTTATTATTAAGTTACTTTAAGCTTAAGTTTTATATTCATATTTATTTCACCGAAAAAAAGCCTTTTAATCGTATCTTTATAATAATCCATACATAAGCTAAAAAAATGCAGTGAAAGTAATGTCCAAACGACGAATATGCATTAATTTTAAACATTCATACCACACGTGATTTGCTATACATATGTATATCTACTGCCTACTTTACCTTGACATATTTCTTTCGATATGTAAGATGTCACATCATTTTTCTTCGTCTCGAAGGCTCAGTAATAATGATGGTTAATAGTAATTATAAACAAAAAAATAGGTAGCTTTGATATTCGCAGGCCATGTTATGTAAATTTTTAATGAATTATCAAAATATTTCATTGCAAACCCTGATAATAATCAAATTATTTTGTTAAATAAATAGTTTATATTTATATAAAAAATAGTAAAAAAATATTTTATTGTTTCCGGGCTTGGTACCTAAATCACTAGAGATTGAACCTCATAAATTTGCACTAATCACAGGAAGTTCGATTGATACATTTGTCTCTAAAAGACTTTTTCAAGAGTTTTCAAGCCCTGATGGTTTTTTCCGTGTAGTTTACTTACGCAGCTCCGTACGGTCCTCGCAGTCTACATTGAAGGGCTGGTCGCACTTGTTGAACTTGCGGTTGAGCGGATCGAAGACCAGGCCATCGGGACAGAGCTTCGCCTTGGCCACTCCATCGTCGCAGACGTAGAACTTGTCGCACTGCACTTCGTCGGCAAACTGGCCATTAGCCTTCGGGCACTCGAAGTTGGCGGCGGTTACGGCTAAGGGGAGTAAACAGAAACAGAAAAGCTTGAGTCAACCTGTTTTTCCCACTTTCACTTTTCTGGAGCCCCTGGTGCCCCGCAGTCACACACGAAAGTGTATCGAGATCAAACAGTCGATTTGTCGATGGCAATTCCGCATCTGCGGTTTCCTGCTTGCCACCGAGATGCATATGAAATGAGTAACGGTATTTCAAGGAACTACTGCACAATACAGTACCAGATAGTAATTGACGTGTAAGCCATTATCAATAGTAAAGATATGGGGTAACTATATTCTGAGCTAAAATCGAAGACCTTTGACGATGATTTAAAAACCAATAGGATGTTGATATCAATTTTATACAACAATGTGGTTTGAATTCGGAAAGTTCGATGGATTTTTTTTTAGAAAGACGACGTTTATTTTATATGCATATTTTTAGACACCTTAATTAGTGATTTAAAGGCCGTGTGAGTTTTTGTGGCACAACCACTCTATAATTCAGGATTAAATCGGTAATCACGTCGAACAACTTCTGTCTTCCCTCATAACTGAACACCGGTTTATTGCAAGTTATAAAAAATTGAAACAAGTAACAGCATTAGTTCCTTATACATTATCAGGAAAACGATACCATTATGTGTACCATCATCTAGATACCATTATGTATATTATTTATCGAAAAGTATGCTGCGCTAACCGAAAGTCAGATGGATAAATCTCGAAAGATAACGGTTTTTTTTTCCAGCATACTTCAAGAATCCTTTTATAGGTTAAACAAGGCGTTATTTCGCTTCCTTGATATTATATTTTGGTGTTAAAATGCAAATGTAAAAAAAAATAAAAAAAAATATATTTTGGTGTTCAGAAATTTTTATAGTCTTAAAAGAGAACTGACAGATTTTGGAGGCGTCTTTACCGATAACCACAGTTAAGAACGCATGTTCAATATGGCATCAGGTCAAGATGTCCAGTCCGAGTTCAATGCACTCCTGTGGCTACCGTTGGCCATAGAGATGAGCGCTCTTAACGGCTCAGAGGAGTAACTTTTCACAGTCACGACTTTGCGCAGCTCTTGGCCAACAAACTGCAAGAGTTGCATAACCAGCGGCACTTGGGCTTGGCCAGCCATCCAGTTTTTCCAGACGGAAAAACCAGCCGGTTCTCTATCTCGTTTACGGACCCGCAACCGCGACTCGATTTTAGGTTGGGTCGCAATCTTGCGAGACGTCTAAATGTCATTTGGCTTAGCTGCCCAAAAACTCTCGATATGCAAAATACACAGCGGTCCGAAATAATCTTGGTTTTGGTGTCAGTGTCAAAGCAATTAGCAACAAGCTGCGACTTCTACAGGTAAACAGACGGATCGGATCGGATCGGGTTGGGTCGGGTCGGATCGGGTTGGATCGGGTTGGATCGGATTGACCAGAAATCACTTCGAATGGGCACTTAAGGCACATCTCACGGATCCACATCCATTGATATTCCAGTTAACACTCACTTGTCGCCACACACAGCGTCACAGCAATGGCACATAAAAATAACTTCATTTTCGACTTGGTGCTGAGTAGGAAAAAAAAAGAAACAAGTTGGAGACGATCCTGGGAACTTGGTACTGGGCCTGAGCAACTTATCGCGACTCAAGCGCTGCGATGGTTAAACTAAACTAACAACGGAACGCCAAAGAGGCGCACTTTTCAAGACTTTTTACCGGCGACGTCGACGTCGACTGCAACGCCGGCGTCAGCCGCGGCAGAGCGATGCCAATGGGCGGGGCCACCACCGCCCCCGCCACTGCCACTGCCACTTCCACCAAGCCCAGCCAAACCGAACGAGCTGGAGCTCCACAGGCGGCGAAGAAAGGCGAGCCGGAGATGTAATGGCACAAAAACAAGAAAGTTCCAGTGACGATTTCCGGAAAACCGCTGGCCAAATGCCCTTGCTTTGAAATAACCCATTTCCAAATCTGATACCGACAAGATTTGATTTTGTTTAGCAAGGTGCGGCTTATTTCCGCCTATGAAACGGGAACATTTCACCATATTTTTAAAAAGTAAATGAATTTTTATACATTTAATAAAATCTTAATTTCAAATACCCAATGTACTCATTTAAAACAAAAGCTGCCAGATTCCACACATTTTCTCAGATTAAAACCTACTTTTACCTTACCAAGAGATGAGAAAAGTGGTCTCAAAAATAAGTCGCGAATTCTTAAGCACATACATACTTCGCTTTATAAATCATACGCCAAAACCATAGATCTTATTTAATAAAAATCAAAAAAAACTCGGATTGAATTTGGTTGGAACAGATTTCTGAAGCACTCCGCTATTAAGAGAGTTAGATTAATTATTTAACTCAATAACTCTTTAACGTTAACTATATTTGATTTAAAAAAGGGGTTAAAACTATTATACTATTGATCTATAAATTTTAGTTGAAGTTGCACCGAGTGTCCAATGGCTCCCGGTCGAGAAGGGTATTCCCGATCTCGATCGGGTGCCAGTGCCCGTTCCCTGCGATCAGTGTGTCGATGTGGCCGAAAACGACTCCAAAGTGAACATAAACAAATTCATATGCGGCAACGGTCCCCGGGGCCGATTGCCAGTTGAGGTGAGGTTGAGTTGATGGGGCGCATGCAAATGGCATTACAGCGATAAAAGGCCAGCTCAAAAAGACCATAACAAATTAAGCCGAAAATTGTACAACAACATCGGCGATGAGATAAAGTGAAAGACGGGAGGTGCCGCCTTCCTTTTGTTCAAAAATTCAGCCAAAAAAGCCAAAAGTTGGCAGAGCAAGGCTTCAAGGACTCGCCATCAGTTCCCTAATTAAGGAAAAAACTTTAAAAAATAACTGAAATATACATTTATTTAAGTAATATTTTAAGTTTGGCCTCTTTGTTGATGCATTTTTTGTATACTCGACTGCCGCAAATCGAAAATTGTTTTGATGGATGTTTTGATTTTTTACTTTTGTTAACGCTCTGGAAAAAGACTCAAAAGCTAAGACTAGGCTGTAAGACCAATATCAGATGTTTTTGACCTATTACTTAAATATACAAAACATACTAAATATATATATATAAGCTGCACAAATTCGAACTCAATATTCTTGTAAGCAAATTAAAAAAGTAAGCAAATATGATTTTTATAGTAATTAAATAAAGTATTGTAATAATTGCTTATTGAACAGCTGTTAAACGGAGTGTAGAATAACTTCACAATACGAAATATAAATAAAAATACTAATAATAATTCAAAGATCAGATAATAAAAATTAATTTGAAATGTTGATGAAATGTTTTCAAAAATATTTATATTTAAAAGTGTAAGAGAGTTTGAGTTGAGATTAAACTATCATAATCAAAGCTCTCCACATGGTACTCCAGCTTAAGAGTGACTAGATAGCTTGAAGAATCTTTAGGTGGTTCCTGTTTCGGGATAAATATTTGCAGAACATACAAGGGATTTGGGTGAAGCACAGTTATCAGCCGCACGAAATGATTCGGCTACGCCCATGGGACTCCGGACCCATCACAATCGGGATGGAAAACTGTGTCACATCCCCAGGTGGAATGGAAACCGAAAGAGCGGAGCGATGCCGGTAATATATGTACATAATATATGCATAAATATGCTAAACACACCACGCAATGACCCAAAAGCCGCTGTCCTTGGGAGATGCGATTCAATCCGATCAGAGATGCGGCAAAACCAGACGGGCTGGAAAACTAGTTTAGGTTCGCGGCGTGGCGTGGCTAATTAAAAATACACTTTTACTCTCGTCTAGAGGTGGTTCTTGGAAGCTCACAAATCCGAATCTAAAATTCAATTGGCAAATTAGTTTGTAAACTAATCACGATTAAGTCCCAGCCGTGCGGTGTGTGACTGGTTTGGCTGCAATTAGCGAATATCAAAAGAAAACGAGGACGGAAGCTAACTTCGGCAAGCCGAAGTTTTAATACCCTTGCAGACTTTGACGAAATTGCTAAAAGTGAAAAAGTAGCGAAAGGAATAAGGTATACATAAGTAAACTAGATTTGCATCGTTTCAAGTCAATTGCTTTTATACTGCAAAAATGTCATATACAAAAGGGATACTTTCGCAGCCTTTAACAATTTTTACTATCTCCTTTAAGATATAGACTTCCGAGCGGCAAGCGCTTTTACCCTAATCAAGATATGCGTAAATAAATAAGAATTGGAAAATTTTATGTTAGTAGCTTACACACTGCGCGAAATATTCTGATAATCATCAAATTTGGACCGATTTCACCCTATTGTTCTTATGGGAGCTATAGGATATAGACGTATGTCAATAGCTTATACACTGCGCGAAATATTCTAAGAAACATGAAATTTTGACCGATTTCACCGTATTGTTCCTATGGGAGCTATAGGATATAGACGTCCGATCAGCACGCGCTTTTACCTTGATGAAGGAATGCATAAAAAAATACGATTTGAAAAAATGTACAGCAATAGCTTTTACACATCGCGAAATATTCTGAAAAACATTAAATTTGGACCGATTTTACCCTATTGTTCCTATGGGAGCTATAGGATATAGACGTCCGATCGTCACGCGCTTTTACCCTGATCAAGGTACGCATAAAAAAATAAGAATTGGAAAGATTTATGTCAATAGATTTTACACTGCGCGAAATATCCTAAAAATCATTAAATTTTAACCGATTTTACCCTATTGTTCCTATGGGAGCTATAGGATATAGACGTCCGATCGCCACGCGCTTTTACCCTGATCAAGGTATGCATAAAAAAATACGATTTGTAAAGATTAATGTCAATAGCTTTTACACTGCGCGAAATATCATAAATTCTTGCAAGATATATCCAATTGTTCCTATGGGAGCTATAGGATATAGACGTCCGATCGGGGCGATTTTCAAACTTGATCTGCGTACACATGTTTTAGGACGATTGTGAAAATTTCAGATCGCTAGCTTTTAAACTGAGCTCGCAAACGGTATTGAAACAGACGGACAGACGGACAGACGGACAGACGGACAGACGGACAGACGGACAGACGGACAGACGGACATGGCTATATCGACTCCCCTATTGATCCTGATCAAGAATATATATACTTTATGGGGTCGGAAACGTCTCCTTCACTGCGTTACAAACTTCTGACCAAAATTATAATACCCTCTGCAAGGGTATAAAAATATAAGTATAATGCCGCTCATCGGTTTGGCAACTCCCATATGCAAGATCTTGGACTCAGCGCCAATTTGTCAGCCTGGAGCAAAAAGCAGTTAAAGATTTGGCAATTCAAGGTTTTTACTGCAACTTGGGATCGGATCGGATCGTATCGAATCGGTGATTCCAGTCCGGTTTATCGAGACGGTTACGAAATGAGCCACTAAAAACACTCAAGACCGCGTCTTCACATGCATTGGGTTCCAGTTTTGGGTTTGGGTCATCAAATGCTGGCATTAATTGGGGATGCGCCAAATCGAGCCAAAAATAAACCACCAGGGAATCGATTGGTCGGAAAAGCAATTTACAGGTTACTGCGAACAAAAACATTGGAAAATGGACCACGTACCGGGACTTACAGTTAAGTCACCTGCAAGTGCTGTGTGTATAATGCAGCAGCTACACCTGGCATTGGTGGCATAAATTATGGAAAAGACAAATCATTTAATTACGCTTTCTATTTTCATGGCAGGTTCTTGTGATTTCACTGCCGCTAAACGCGCATTGAATGTAATTAGTCGAGCCAAGGGAATATCTAGATATTTCTAACAAGACACTAGCATTGGTGATTAAATTTACATTAAATAAATCAATACCTGCCTGTAAATAAGTTTGATAAAAAAATAGTGTATGTAGTTTTTAACCAAATAAATTATTATATTTTATTTGAATCCATTCCATTTGAATTAAAAAATTAACTCCCTATTTTAAGAATGTTTTTTTTTAACATATACATAATTCGTTAATTAAAGTTCATTCACCTGTTAAGAAAATTCTATGGTAATGTTTCTTGTTTTTAATGGGAACCCTTTTTATGAAGAAGTTTTGATTTTTATATCAACAAGAAAGGTAAGCGAACTTCGGGCGGAGCCGAAGTTGATATACCCTTGGAGAATATTCTGTAAATTATATTTTCCAAAATGGGATCGGTTGGCCAAAAATAAAACCCTTAGAAAATCCCAACTTCCTAACTTTAAAAACGCCAAAGTCGTGGCATTTCCGATCGTTCAGTTATATTGCAGCTACATATATGATATAGTCGCCCGATCCGGCTCATTCCGACTTGTATACTAACTGCAATAGAAAGGCAACTTTTGGAAAAGTTTCAAGCAGATAGCTTTAAAACTGAGGGACTAGTTTGCGAAGAAACGGACAGACGGACGGACAGACGAACGGACAGACGGACATGGCTAGATCGACTCTCCTGGTGATGCTGATCAATATAGGGTCGGAAATGTCTCCTAAATAATATAATATAATAATATAATTATAATACCCTCTGCAAGAGTATACAAATAATACAGTCAATACACTTATCACTCTTCTTCATAAGTCGTTATGTATACAATTTGTAATTTACATTGTAATGACTCCGAATCGTTCAAAAACCTGAAGTCAATGAATGCGTGAAAATTATAAATTTAAATTAATATTCTTTCACC